ACCACAGGTCGTGTATTTCCTCTCTCCAGGGGAAAGTGAAGTCCTCTTTTTCTGTAACCAAGAATATGATTTTCTCAACACTCAACAAGTAGTTTATTCATCTTTGAACAAACTTTTAAACCAATGTGATATAAACAGTTTACAAAACGTTATGGTAGACTTTAGTTGCAAATCCTTGAGTTAGCCCAGAAACACTCTGCTGTTTTATTATGTCAGTTTCCTAAGTCTGTGTTGGAATATGACTTTTCACCATACTATCTTTGTGTTTTTGTGTTTGCTGTGTATGAGAAGACGTGGTCTAACTGTTAGGGGTCAGAGGCTGGATCTATGCAGAAAACCACAAAAGTCCAAATCTGCACTATCCAATATGGTAACTACAAGTCTCCTGTGGATTTTGAGCTCTTGCTCTGAATTGAGATGTACTGCAAGATTTCAAAGAGCTAGTGAAAAAAAGTAAAATATCTCATTAAAAAATTATATGTTTGACTACTAGAAATATTTAGCTACTAGAAATTTTTTAATTTCATTTGTGCCTTGCATTTGTAGTATACATTATATTTATGTAGAATGGCACTAAGACAAGTGGCCACTTTGAGCCCAATGTATAATGGAATACTTTTTAAAAGAAGTCAGGAGTCCTGGAGCTATAGAATTTTCTAGCTGGAAGAGTCTTCCAAAAGTAAATGGTGTAAAAGTGCTTATATTTGTGCGACATACACCTCACTTTCCACCACACACAGTAACACATATAAATGTCCATGCAGGCAATACTGTGACCAGCATAAGTGACGAGTTGCTATACATTAAGGGTTTGGAATCACTGGCAGAATCTCCTACCTAGCACAGTTTTCTCTCTTTATCCCTGGGTTCCATATCAGCAGATTTAACCAATGGCAAAATGAAAATATTAGGAAAAAATGAAAAATACAACAATAAAAAATACAAATTTAAATACCAATAGAGTGTAACAACTATTTACAAACACAGCATAGCATTTACCTTTAATTAGGTATTAGAAGTAATCTCAAGATGATTTAAAGTATCCAGGAGGATGTGCGTAGGTTATATGCAACATATATATGGGTGGTGAATTTTCTCCAGTGACTGACTGAATGACCTTGAGCATATATTAGGGACTTAAGCATCTACAGATTGTGGTATCTGCAGGGCTTCTGGAACAAATCCCCTGTGGATACCAAGGGACTGTATTTCTAAATATTGGGGATTTAAAGGAAGAATATAGCTGAAAGAAGAAACTGGGAGAACAAGCAGGAGAAATCATTGGCAGAATGAATGGAAAAGTGAAGAGCATTCCAGAAAAGGAAAATAAAATGAACAACAGCTGAGAGGAAAAAATAAGCATGGGTCTTTAGGAGAATAGTGACAGTTGGGCTATTAGTAACAATAATTAATATCTGAAAATAGCCCTTAATTTACATAGATGTCATCACAGGCATTATTTCATTTAATCATCATAGACATCTATTTCTATCATTCCCATTTTGCAGATAAGGGATGAGGCCCAAATTTAAAGAGCTTGCCCAAGATCACTAGTCAGTAGTGCCAGAATTTTAGGGGACCAACCATCCGCATCCTGTCTGCCCTGGGCTGGGATTTTCAGCACTCAGGAATTCCAGTGCTAGAAATGGGAACATCCTGGGCAATGCAGGGAAGTTGTTCACTCTACACTTGAATGCATATCTTCTGACGCTAAATCCCACTCTCTTTGCATTGTTAATAATGACAAACAGTTACTGGACGCTTTGTGTGTACCAGGAGCTATGGAATAAGAGCTTCACATAATTATCTTTTTAATCTACAAAAGGACTTTATAAATTGAGTATTGATTTTTCTCTTCCTCCTCCTACCATCCAACATAGTTCAGATATAAAAATGTAAATTTCCCAGATCACTGATAACTTATCTAATGAATGTCATCACACAGCTGGTAATGGCTGGATTTGAACTCAGGCCATTTCAGTCCAGGCTCTGTGCTGCTAATCACCGTGAAAGCTGCCCAGCCTGCTTTCTCACATGCTTACTAAGGCCCAGGGTTCCTGCTGGACCTTTTGACCCACTCATTTATTTTTTTCATCATGTTAGTATGAAAACATAGCTTGACTGGAATACAGCGCCCAGCTACTGCAGCCACTCGTGACTGCCTACGACATACGTCTCCTGGCTTTGATCTTGCCAGTCTTCCATTTAAAATGACCTCTCATATTAACATCCTACCAATGTCTGTTCCACCTTTTATTAGGTATCTTGATTCAAAAAGAGTTCATAAAAAGTAGAAGAAAAAAGAATTTCCTTTTCATTTAACATGTACTGGCAAGAATTGCCAGATAATTTGTCTTTAAAATTAAAACAGTTATGCTTTCTTGAATAAAACTCTAGTTTTTGTTATCATCTTTGATGTAATTTTTTAAAAGCTATTCTATGAAAGACTATGCATTATTTACATATAGCAGAACCTTACACCATTTGAAGCACCAGAACAGATATATAATGTGATTTCACGATATCATTCCCAGTATGAGAGTGATGAGCTTGTCAGTTTTCTAAGCCTGTGCATTCCTGGGTAAAAACAACCATGCCACTTTTTTTTTCTGTAACCCACACATCACTGACAGTGATTGACATACGTTTTCCAGAAATGTAGAATTGAGTGGAAAATAGTGTTGAGTGAGTCTGAGGTCTAACTGGCCTCACTGGCACAGGGTTGAAGCCAGAGGATTTTATTTCAGTTTCTTATTGTCTGTGGATTTAAGCTTTGTCGCTTCTTCCTCCTCATACCTCGACCTTCCATAGTCGTGTATTCTAAACAGTGTTGATATGCAGGTGCCACCCCAGAAAGAAAAACTAATTTTAGATATTTAAATTATTTACCTTTTCATTGACAGATAATTTATATACATTCACATTTGTCCTTTTAAAATCATTGCGTTTTGACAAGCATATACAAGTGCATATAGAACACAATCAGAATCTAGAACATTTCCATCACTTCAAAAAGTTCCCTGTGCTCCTTTTATGTCAACCCTTCCCTCCCCGCGCACTTCCCAACACCAATGTAAACTGCTTTCTGTCCCTCTAAATCTGCCTTCGCAAATCACAGAATCATACAGCAGATAGCTTTTTGGAGTGGCTTATTTCCCTGTGTATAATGCTTTTAAGATGTATTGCTGGCCAGGCTCAGTGGCTCACACCTGTAATCCCAACACTCTGTGAGGCTGAGATGGGTGAATCACTTGAGGTCAGGAGTTTGAGACCAGCCTGGCCAACCTGGTAAAACCCAGTCTCTACTAAAAATGCAAAAATTAGCCAGGTGTGGTGGCAGGCACCTGTAATTTCAGCTTCTCAGGAGACTGAGGCAGGAGAATCATTTGAACCCATGAGGTGGAGTTTGCAGTGAGCCAAGATTGCACCACTGCATTCCAGCCTGGGCTACAGAGCAAGACTCCATTTCAAAAAAAAAAAAAAAAAATCATTTCTATTGCTGCATGCGTCAGTATTTTTTTTTGTTGCTGATTATTCTAATGTGTGTATACCAAAATTTAATTGCCTATTCCCCAGTCGATGGACATCTGGAGTTTTGTCTATCACACATAAAGCAGCCAAACAGCCCATAAGTCTTCAGGTGGATATATGTTTTCATTTCTCTTGAATAAATTCTTGGGAGTGGAATTGTTGGGTTATAGGATTGGTGTATGTTTACCTTTATATAAAAGTGCCAAAGTGTTTTCCAAAGTCCTTGTAAGACTTTGCATTCTTGCCAGCAATATACAAGACTTCCAGATAATCCACATCTTTGCTGGTATTTGATACTGACAGTCTTTTTAATTTTAGCCATTCCTGTAGGTATGCCTAATAGGTGCATCTCATTGCGGTTTTAATTTGCATTTTCTTGTAAATACCACTAATAGATCTTTGGGGGGGATATAATTCGTATTTAGTATAATGTTTTCATGTGTTAGAGTTGGCTTAGTTTTGGCAAGTGCACACCCCTTAGGTAACACACACCATGTCCAGGTATAGGCGAGTGCCGGGTCCCCAGAAATCATCCTATCTTTTGTCCAGTCAAGTTCCTTCACCACAAACAACCTCTGTTACAATTTTTTCCACCATAGATTGGTTTCTCCTACTGAAGAACTTCATCCACGTAGAATTATACCGAATGTGCGTCTGTCTGTGGGCTGGCTCCTTTACTCAGCCTGACGTAGTTCGAAGGTGGTCTGAGCTGCAGCCTGGGACTGTTGTGTGTTACCTTTCATTGCTGAGTAGCTTCCCTCTGTGTGGATGAACCATAATTTGTTCAGCCATTCTTCTGGTGATAGGCACTTAGTTGTTGTTCTCAGTTTTTGTCTACTATGAATAAAACTGCTGTAAACAGTTTTATTTTTGTACAAGGATTTTTGTGAAGACATGTTTTATTTCTCTTGAATTAAGTAGCTAGGGGCAGAACTGCTCAGTCATAAAGTAGGTAAATGTTTATCTTTATAGGAAGTTGCCAAGCTGTTTTTCCCGGTGGCTTTCCCATTTTGCATTTCCACCCACAATCCATAAGAGTTTCAGTTGATCCGCATGCTTGCCACAATTTGTTCTGTTTTTCTTTTTTTTTTTTTTTTTTT